GCTTGAGCCCAGGAGTTGGAGGTTGCTGTGAGCGTGATGCCATGGTACTCTACCCAGGGGGATAGCTTGAGGCTCTGTCTCAAAAAAACAAACAAACAAACAAACAAAAAACTGTTAAGCCAGACACAGTGACTCAGATCTCTACCTCAAACCATGCTATGTTACTGTTAGTAAGTTTGACTAAAGACTAAATTTAAAAAGAATAAAAGAATCAGAAAGAAGGCTCAGCACCTGTGGCTTAAGCGGCTAAGGCACTAGCCACATACACCTGAGCTGGCAGGTTCAAATCCAGTCCAGGCCTGCCAAACAACAATGACGGCCACAACCAAAAAATAGGCAGGTGTTGTGGTGGGCGCTTGTAGTCCCAGCTACTTGGGAGGTGGGGGCAGGAGAATCACTTGAGCCCAGGAGTTGGAGGTTGCTGTGAGCTGTGATGCTACAGCACTCTACCAAGGGCAATGTAGTGAAACTCTTGTCAAAACAAACAAAAAAAGGGCTCAGTGCCCATAGCACAGTGCTTATGGTGCAGCCACATATACTGAGGGTGGTGGGTTTGAACCTGGCCTGGGTCAGCTAAACAACTGCAACATAAAAATAGCCAGGGATTGTGGCGGATGCCTGTAGTCTCAGCCACTTGGAAGGCTGAGGCGGAGAATCACTTAAGCCCAAGAGTTTAAGGTTGCTGTGAGCTATGATGTCATGGCACTCTACTGAGGGCAACATAGTAAGACTCGTCCCTTAAAGAAAAAAAAGAAAGAAAGTCTATTTGTCATTGTCAGTCTAAATTAAAAAAAAAGTTTTTCAAAAGTCTATTAACTTAAATAAAAAATGATAGTCTTTTAAAAGAGAAATTGGGCAGTACCTCAAAATTTAAATTATGTATGATTTTTCACTTATCAGTTATATACCAGATATCAAGATAAGTTTCTTCTTTCCCTTGTCAGCAATTTCTAAAAAATATTTGTCATCTAACATAGAAAAATGGTTTATAATATTACTCACATTCCTTTGCTTTGGTTGTTATTCTGTTGAGTTTGAGTGTTCTAAAAATATATTCATTGGCTATTTGTATTATTTCTTTTATAGTTTTTGGAGTTCTGGATACACTTACCCCTGGTCCATTTCTCAAATCTATTTCTCTCCTTTGGACCCTATTGTCCCCATCCTATTTTAGACTTCTTCTAAGAAATGCTTCTACTTTTATTATATTATTTTTTGGCTTCCGCTTTTTTTTTTTCTGGTTTTCTTTGGTTTGGAAATCCCTCTCCCAATCTTTGCCTTTCAAATATCTAACTCTCAGGCTCGGCGCCTATAGCTCAACCGGCTAAGGC